TCTGCAGAAGACAATAAGCGCTGCACTGTTTCCAGGAAGGAAGCACCTGGGCCAGGTCATCAAAGCTGCAAGCTAACGAGGAGGTCACTGGCTGCATCCTGCTCTCCCAGCTCCACATTTCTGCTAACTCTCCAAACCTCCCACCCTTCTGCTGGGACCCAGCTCAGGCCTGACTTCAGCAGGTAGTTCTTGGTAGCTTCCAGGTTTTTCTCCCAAAAAGCAATACTGGGCATTAAACACAACATTCACCAAAGGCCTCTGAGCTTTGCTGGGACCATCACCCACCTCTACGCCTCCTGCAGAGCCATCGTGAGAATCATATAGAATGAGTGGGTTGGAAGGGACCTTAAAGATCACCCAATTTCAACCGTGCCCCCACCAGCCAGGCTACCCAGGGCCCCATCCATGGCTGTGGGCACCACCACGGATGGGCACCCATCACTCTGGGCAGCAGTGCCACGTGCTCTGACAAGGCTACTCTTCATCCTTTGCATCCCAACATCACTGATCCCTCCCTTTCCCAACAATCCTGGAAGAGAACACATTGCTCCTCCTGGATCTTCCCAACGCTTCCCCATTTCTAATGCAACCTTTTCACACAAGCACTCAACATCCCATGCAAATCCTCCCTACACAGCACCTTCCCCCCCCCCAACAAATGCATTATCTCCCTTTCTCTTCCCACCACTGCTGCCCATCTTGCAGCTGCTCTGCTCCTCTCCCTTTTCGTCTCAGCTTGTTGAAATCCGAAACGCGCTCTGATTCCAGCCAAAAGCTCTTCATGCCGAACAGAAACTGAAAGTCTCCAAGATCTGGCGAGCAGAGGCAGCAGCAAAACCATGTCTGCAGGGGGAAAAGCCGCGTTGCAAAGGGAGCATGGGCTCACCCAACCCTGTGCTCCTCAGCGGAGGGGGCAGGGCGAGCCTGGAACTGCTTCAATGGCAAAAAAACGGGTGGAAAAAAAGTAAGGATGGAGGGGCCAGGATGTTGAAGGTTCGTTTTTTAATCCCTGCCAATGAATTTCCATTCCGTGCCAAGACTGAAGTAAATCGCTTTGATCTAACGAGGAGGAAAAAACACACGCAGACTCCCTTGGCTTCTCAGAATATTGGTGACAAAGGAGGGGGAGCGAGGACAAAAATGAACATGGTACAGATCTGCCGAGGGTGACATTTTTAAATGTGCCCTTTTATTTCTGAAGAAAGAAAAATTGGGGTGTGTTGGGGAGGTGGTCGATTAGGAAACAGTGATTACACGCAGCTACGCATCATCACGCTTGGACATCCCTCCTGCCTGGGTCCCTCTCTGTCACTGGGCTGTGTTCTCCCACCCACAGCTCCTGTGCAGGCTCCTAGAGGCAGAGAGCTGCAGGGTTCCTGCTGTGACCCCAACCCCTCCCATGCTGGGGATGGGCACAAGGAACCATGCCCATTGGTTCTCCAGCCCACCCAGGAGATGCTCTCACCTTGGCATTACCCACAGCCCAGCAAGGGGTAGGACTGAGACCACTGCCCACCCCGTGCTGCCTTTCCACCACACCATTCCCATGCAGCAGGGCTCTATTAATAGACCTACAGCTAATTATAGGCAGCAGTCATTGCAACAGAAAGGGGCAAACGCTCTGCAGTCGGACCGCACTTGCTGTTGGATGCTGTCCACTTTCCACCCCCCTCTGACAAAAGGTGCTGGGATGAGGCTGCTGGGACAGAACCATGGCATGGGTTCCTGCTCCTCCCCTCGGGTACCAGCAGAGCCCCAGGCCAGGGCAGGACTATGGGCTGAGGGCTTCAGGATGTCTGAAACCAGAGAGGGCAAAGTACCAAAGCTCTGTACTCCTCCTGGGTGCCTCTTTCACCTCCAGAACAATGCCCTTGGTGCATTTGGCTTAGCTTAATTCCTGGAGCTTCTTGGTCCTTTAACTTCAAACTATGAGGAAATAATTCAGAGAGGAAAGTGGGGAACACAGCTCAGGGGACCACGGTGCAAGCAACCAAGAGGCTGTGCAGTATGGAATGCAACCCTGAGCAAACCCTGAGCACCCAGCCTCTGCCGATGGGAGTGAGGAATGCGTGCAGGTTGGAGCAGGCTCAGCTTCCCCAGGGCTCATGGAGCTGGGAGCAGCCTGCTGGCACGCTGCTGCACACCAGGGCTGGAGGAAAAGGAGATGGGCACACACAGGATTCTTTCTCCCTGCAGGGTCCTGGTGAGCCCCGTGTGCACTGATGCTGGAGCACAGAGAGTGGGGTGCTTGAGGCTGGCTGCTTTTTGTGGGTGCATTGCAACTGTTTGGGTCAGTTGTAAAAACAGCACGCAGCCACCTGTGGCTGCAAACTAGAAAAAGAAGGGAAAAAAAGCAAAAAAAGAGGGGGGGAAAAAAAAACAACAAAACAGCCCCAGTCTGGCCAGTGGCTCAGCAGGGGATTGCAGTGCCAAAGCAGACTTCTCAGACCTCTCTGCTTCCAAACCGGTGCCTTTCCCACATGCATGCCCCCTCCCACTGATGGGATTTGGGCAGTATTTGGGGCTCCTGGTGCACAGAGGAGGTTCCAGGTGCTTGGCCCATCCCTGTGCTTGCGGCATCTGCTCTCAGTGCACCCCTGGGTCATCCTCAGAGCTCCCCTCAACCCCAGCAGTGAGCTGTGGGATCCCAGCACGGCCCTCTGCCCCGCTCCACTGTTGCAGAACAGTGGCTCATTAGCTGCTGACCCCAGCTCAGAACCAGATGTGCCCTTTGCTGATGGTCAGGGGGAGGAAGAGGAGGCCAGCACTGCCAATGGAGAGCTCAGCCCCAACCCCCCGCATCCTACGCCTTCCTCCCCTCCTCATTTTCAATAAAGCAGAAATTGCCAAACCCACACAATTAATGTCTAACAGGTTCAAGGCAGAGCAATTCAATCCACCTCCTGGGAGGTCCCTGCCCAGCTGCCGTCCAGCTCCCAGCACACTGCTGTGTCCCCCCACCACGGGACCTCCAGGAGCACAGCGAGGGGAATCATTCCTGCAATGGAGATCCCTCCCTGAGCAAAACAGCAGCCACCCCCTGGGAAAAGCCCTGGTTCTGCTGTGGAGCCATAGGCACAGATGAGATCTCAAGGACAAACCAGTGTCCCCTCACAATTCCAGTCCAAGGTGGGGGGCAAGAATGGAACTTAGTCTTTGCATCCCACATGGGATCTCTGACCTGCACTCAGCCATTCTCCATTACTCAGTCACCCCTGCCTGCTGCTGTGGGATCACAGAATCACCAAGGTTGGAAAAGGCCCCTAAGATCAGGTCCAACCATTGACCCATCCCCACCATGACACCAAACCATGTCCCTCAGTGCCACATCTCCACAGTTCTTGAACACCTCCAGGGACAGTGACTCCACCACCTCCATGGGCAGCAATTCCAATGCCTGACTTCAGAGAAGGCATTTTTCCTAACATCCAACCTGAGCCTCCCTTGACATGATGGGAGAGGGTCCCAAACCCATCAGAGCCACGATATTATCTGAGCTACACACTGGGAACCACCATAGGGGAACCTGCAGCACACACCAGAGCAAAGCAAATGCAGGGAAGTGCCTGAGGAAGCTGATGCTCTTAGTCACAAGGGACAGCAGGGGGTGATACTGCTGTCACATTCTGGGTCTCATCCCAAGGGAATCAGCTCCTCCCTGCTGGCAGTGCAATGCTGCCCTGGCATGGGGCACACTGCAGGCAGGGATGCTCTGGTGCCACAGGCATTAGCAGAGCTGGCACAAGGACGTGATCTGCAGAAAGGTCAGGGGGGTATTTTTACACCATGTGTCAGACCCCTGCTCCCCAGGGGAGCAGCTCCATCTCCTCCATCTATGGCCACTGTGAGGACACTCCCTGCCCTCTTCCTGTGGTGCTCAGTGCAGGGAGCCAGCAGGAGAGGTAACACTCCCCTCACACACCCTTTTTGCTGGTTTTTTTTCCCCCCACTTTTTTTCCCTCCCAGGCAGCCCAAGGGACTGCACGATGCTCCCCCAGCCCTCAGCACATTCTCCTGCAGCATGAGAACATGAGGGCACAGCATGCAGCTGAGGCACTGCCTCTGCTCCTGCCCAGGGGCAGCAGTGCCACGGGCAGTCATGATGGGACGCAATACAGCAAAAAACCCTACAAACATTTCCCAACTCTCTCCTCGAGGCATTTCTCTGTGCTTTGTTTGTAGGACACCAAACAGCAGCCCAGCACAGGTTGTTGTCACACTACAAATGCATCAAAAGCCTCCGCAGCTCTGAATGGAGATGTTTAAATTATTTACGGGACTTGGAGCAACCCCAAGAAAAAATACAAACAAACAACAGAAGGCACTGCTCTGGAGAAATGCTCTGCACTCCTACACCCCACCCCACGTGCACGCCCTGCACCCCAGTGCACCCGGCTCCACGAGCCTCTCACCCAGGTGCGTCCCAGCACACGGGATCAGGCTGTGCTGTGCCAAACCCCATGCAACCTGCTGTGTGCTTCGTTTTGCCAATAGGCAGCCACAGGTGGGCACAGCAGGGCTGACCTTCCCCAGGCTCAGCAGCCCACTTGGCTGCTTGCAATGGATGGGAGAGCTGCTTTCCTTCCTCCTTCCTCCTTTTGCTCCCAGAGCAGTGCGGGTGGATGCGGCTCCCAGGAAGGATGAGCAGCACGAAGGCGTTCCGCGCTCCTCCTGACCTACTTTACACCAGCACCACACACAGCCTCCTCCCCAGGCACAGCCGTGGCGATCCTCCACCACCAAACCCTCCCCAGCACCGAGCAGCAGGCTGGGAAGGAGCTGGGGGGCACCTGAGGATCAGCACTCCACACCAGTGCTGGATCTGTTCAGCACCACATTCCCACTGCTGGTTTATACCAACGCTGAGCCCTCCAACACTTGGGCTTGGCCATCCAGCTCCATGGGGCAGCACAGGACACCAGCCTGGTGCCACGCTCCACGAGCAGCACCACCACTGCAGGCTCCCACCAGCAGCGACGCCGTGGCCACGCAGCACTCACCATCTCGTCGAGGGCGTAGCGCAGCAACCCGTGCTCGTAGAGGATGAAGAACCGGCGCTGCCATTTCTGCAAGAGAAGACAGTAAAGCGAGTTACAGCACTGCCAGCCCACAGAGCTGGGGCCACAACGCAGGACATCCTCCAGCACAGCTCCAGCATGATGCAGAGCCCCCCCCCAGCCCGCACTCAGCATGGCAATGCGTACCAGATCGGAGCCCTGATCTGGCTGGAAAGGGCCTTTCTGTGCGTGCCAGCCTGTTTGCAGCCCAGAGCAAAAACTGGTTGAGCAGGCTGAAATTTGAAGGAGGGAAAAAAAAAAAAAAACAAAACCACAGATTCATAGCCCCAGTGCAGCAATTCTTATCTTGTTTTTCTCAGCCCTTCAGGCAAAGTCCAAGGTGCTCAGGGACAGCAAAACCACTGAGGTTCCAGTGAGCCACAGTCCCACGTCCCCATGAACCATGACTCCCAATAATGCCCACGTACCCTGGGCTGAACCCAGAATCCAGTGTGGGGGGAGAGATTTTTACTGGTGGCAGCAATGGAGCCTCCAGCTGCAGGAGCAGGGACACAGAGAATGCTCCAACTCTGCTCACATGGTTGCAGTGCTGCAAGGCTTGAGCTCTAGCAGCATCCCGTTTGGGCAGCTGAGCATCAAGGCACCAAAACACAACAGCAGCCAGCAGTAACATCACACTGCTTGAATGGAGCAGGTTCTGCGGTGCTCCAGCCCAGCAAACTGCATGCCCAGCAGAAAGAACCCTGCAGCAGGAAACCTCCCTGGCTTGCACAAGGGGATGGGTGCAGCGTCACCGCCCCGTCCCGTCCCACCTCCCCACAGCCACAGGGTGTCCCTTACCCGAGAGCGATGGACAGGATTGTCAAAGTCCGTTCCTTCGGGGGCCAGCAGCAGCCAGCCACCATAAATGGGTTTGGCCTGAAAGAAAAGAGCAGAGAGGGATCAGCTGGAGCTGCCACACCAGGAAGGGGCAAAGAACTCCACATTCCCACCACCTCTTGAAACACTCTGTTTAAGCTGTTCGCTTTCATTCTTCTCCTTTTTATTATTTTTTCCCTTAAATCGGTGTCCAATGCAGTACCTCCCTGAGATCCCTCCTGCCAGTTGCTGTGGTTTTGTAATGCTAAAGAAAAAAAATAAAAAAAAATAGTTTCCCCTCTGGAAAAATCCCTGTGAACAATAGAAGAAACAGCCTATGCACCAAAAACAGCCAAACGCATGGAGCACCGAGCAAGCAAAGTGGGAACAAACCAGATCAGCAGTCCTTTCACTCTTTGTAAAGCAGGAAGTAATAACAACCCCTTAAAGCCCACTGCCCCTTTTGGGGTGGCATCTCCTGGAGCATCACCTGCACCGAATGGCCCCGATGGCACTGCTGCCCCCAGCACTGCAGGGACTCACAGACCCCACACCACCCCCTGCCCACGCTGCCCCACACACAGCCCCACCCAGCGGTGCTGTGACACCACCCAGCCCTGTGCCCACGCCAGGACTTTGGAGCAGGGAGGGAAAAAAAAAGCAAAATTGCGAAATATTGAGTAACTCGAGGTGAGTCTGTGCTTGTAGGAATGGGGCACAGGGGCACTGAGCTCCCCATGAAAATCACACATGGTGAGTCCGTTCTGGAGGTGCTGTCATGGCCAGGAAGGAGGAAGAGGATGGAGGAGGCGGCACACGAAGTCCCCAACATCACCACCACAGCACCAAGCCCTCCTCTGCCCCCCATGTCCCCTTCCAACCCCTCAGAGCCACCCCTACAAGCAACCCCCACTGCACCAGACCCATACACAGGGATGAAATAACCCCATACCACCACCACTGGGATCAGAACCCCTCCTGGTCTCACCCAGCCCCACCTGACCCATTTTGCCACAACCTTTTCCAGCACCTGAAATACACAACCCTAACACAGCACAATCAGAAGACCATACTTATTCGGGCAGAAACATCCAATTTCAGATACCAAAACCAAAACAGCCACAAGGTACAAGTTAGCACCCAGCACATGGGCAGCCTGGCTCTGTCCCCCTGCACAGAAGCGCTTTTTAAAGCCAAACCCAAACAAACTGCTGCCAAAAGCGGTGCCCGGAGAGGCACAAATAGAAGGATGTGAGCACACACTGTGCCCAGAATAAATCCACTGCACCTGCATTGGGTTAAAATAAGGTCCGTGGGCACGGCTCAGAGCGAGACTTCCCTATCTGAGCAGATCCAGAGAGTAATGTTGCAGCAATCCTGGTATTCCTGGGGCGGGCAGAAGACCAGAGTCAGTTTCTCCAGTGATGAAGCCAATGGGCCGGGGGTGCTGAAGGAGCCACCTGGCCGCGAAGAGGGGCACAGGGATGGTGCTGTGCCGGGTGGGAGCCCCACAGCCCCGTGGGACCGGCAGAGCTGACTCAGGCAGCAACGCCCCAGCGTCACCGTGCCGCTTCCGGTCGCACCTTTGCGGCACACCCAGGTACCCATCCCGCCCCCCACCCTGCCTGGCCCTGCTTAGCTTCGCAGCCCGGTGGGGTGCCCTGCTGGGGGGTTGTCCTGTGCCCATCACCTGCTCTTGGGTACCCACACCCTGCTCTGCGTCTGTCTGTCCTTCAGTCCTGGTGCTCCATGGGCACGCACAGCTCCTGAGCACAGCTCCAGGACTGGGTTAATGTAGAACCCTCACACATTCCCAGCGCTGCGGGGCAGGGCCAGGTCACTCCTTTCCAACGGGCAGCACAGGGCCCTGGAGCGAGGCTGTGTGCACGTGGCATGGGGACGAGGTTTGGGGGCACGGTGGGGATGGCTCAGCAGCTGGACGTGGTGTTCTGAGAAGTCTTCTCCAACATTAATGACTCTGTGATTCGATTCTATGATTCTGTGACAGCACGCGGAGCCGGGTGATGGGGCCAGACACAGCCTGGCACCATGAGGACATTGCTGCTCCAGGTAGAGCTGAGCCATCAGCCCCAGCCCACACAGATGCACACATCTCCCCTAAAACCAAACAGCAGTAACAGCCTTTCTGGAGGCAGAAGCAATCTCATGAGTTGGGCACCAACAACAAGATCCCTGTTTGTGCTCTCCTTTCCTGGCACAGCTCAAGGGGAGGCCACCACCACCAGCCTCAAATAGGGAACCCAGGCACCTGCAGCTATGCACAGCTGATCTGTGTCTCTGAGCAAGTCGGAATGGGGAAGGTGTCACAGCATTGGGGTGGGAATGACAGCCAAGCAGGCTGCCCTCCCCTTAGCACTGCTTGCAGGAACGGATAGGTGCTGCTTTGTGCTCTGCATGCTGCCAGGGGATGCAGCAAGGACCACAGAGCCCTGCAGCACTCAGCCCACGAGGGTCCTGCAAGTGCTGCTGCTTCACCCCCCAGCAGCAACCCAAGGAGTGGTGGCAGCTGGGTAAGCAGGCACAGCAGCGTGCAGCCTCTCCCACAAAAACACATCTGCACAGCACAGCTACGGGGTGGGGGAAAGGACTCTGCAAACCTTCCCTGGGCACACAGCCGTGCCCTGCAGCAGTGCTTCCCCAGCACCGAGCAGCAGCAGCTCCGAGTGCCGGAGCGGGGATTTATCGCTTCCTCGGGTGCCACAGCAGATAAGGAGCGGCGCCGTGCAGACCAACAGCAGTGTGTAAACGTGCAAAGGGGCCGGGGCTCCCCGGTGTAGGAGTGCAGGACGTGGGGCACCAAGCATTGCCCTGCTCCCAAATTCCTGCCGGCAGCAGCAGCAGCCAGCACGGGCAGCTTTGACATTTGCAGAGAACCTTCCCCTGTTTGGTTCCAACCATTAGTGAATGACAGGCAGATTTTTGCAGCATGATACAGCGGGGGCTGCTTTCCAGGAACGAGGGGGCTTCTCCTCCCACACCAAGTAGGGGGTGGAGGTGAAAGCGTGCCCGGGACACAACCCCTCCCCTGCTGCCCTGCAGCAACACACACAGCTGGGACTTGGGGTCACACAGCCCCATAGGTGCAAAGGCACAGGGGGGGATGCATTGGGGCCAACACACTGCACCAGCCCCACTCATCCCCAGGGACATGAGCCCTCTGCCCGCACAGCTGCATCAACACAACGCCCTGAAGCAAAGTTCTGGTGCTCACACAGCTGGCAGTGGGGCACCCGGAGCTGCCGCTTCCCATCTGGCTGTTTGGTGTCCAGAACAGAAGGAAAGCAATAATGTCTAAAGGAGGGCCGTGAAAATATTCAAACTCACTGCTGGGGGTGGCGCTGGGAAAAGTCTGTGAGTGCCACGATCCTGCTGGGTGGTCCTTGGGGTGCCCATGCCAAAAATAAGGGCAATAAGACACGGGGAGCTGGGAGGGCGTCCTCGAGTTCCCGTTCTATGCCAGTCCTGTGCCCCCAAGGGAGAATTAAAACAACGGAGCTGCACTCTGCTCTCCTCCCCTCCGAGCCAAGTGTGATGCTGAAGTCAATTCCCATCGTGGGGCTTCATTTTCCCCATGGAACACAGGAGTGAGGGGGTCCGGGTGTCAGTGCACCCCACCAAGAAGCTGGGAAACTCCAAAATGGGGATCACAGGGAACGAGGCAGCACCACGCACTGAGATCAGGGCTCCAGCTCACACCGGGGGGAGCACAGCAACCCCCACCCGTGTTTTCCCATGGCACCCATGGGGCCGCCCCACATCACTCCGAACCCACACAAACAACTCGTGAACGGAGGGGGATTTGGGACTTAGAGCCCCGCGGCCCTTTGAAGCCCGATTACCGGGAGCTGCAGCTAATCCAGGGCTGGGGGCTGCCCCTGGGGCACCAATCCCAACCCACCAACAACGCCAAAGGTTTGCGATGGGTCACCAATGGGCAGCGGGGCTCCCGGCGTGGGGATTAAAAATCATAATGATTACCAAAATAATAATAATAATAATAGTAATACTAAAATAAATAGAAGTGGAGATGAGGAGCAGCACCATGCTGTCACACCGGGTGCCTGGAGCCCACCACACATGGGTGCTCGCAGCAGAGCACAGAGCCCAAAGCGCCGCTGGAAGCAGTGGGGCCGCGGCTGCGTGCATCACACGCTCCGGAGCCTCCATCTTACCGGGGAGCGGTGGGACCGTTCTGCCCGGGCTGCGGGGGAGAAGCCGAGTGAGATCGCAACGCTTCCCCCTGTGAAACCCCCATCCCTGGGTACAGATCTGATCCCCGGGGTGACCCTGACCTCTGGGACCACCCCCTCTTTTCAGACCCCCCCGGACAAAGCAAGCGGGCCGGGGGACTTTCCCCCCATCCCCTGCACCCTTTGCTGCAGGGGGCAGCGTGCAGCGCTGTGACCCCCCTCCTAAAAGCAATATGATGGCAATGGAACCCCACGAGGGGCAGCGGGAGGGGACAACCAGACCCTGGGGGTCTCACCCCATTCACCCCCAAGGACGCTCCTTTGTCTGGGCACGGCCGCCCGCCCCTTCCCGCACACAGCACAGCGTTTTTTCCAGTTACATTTTTTCCATATTAGCCCTCAGATTTCATTATGTGGTGTGTGTGTGTCCCCCCCGCCCCCAGCGAGCACAGCAATATGTCTGATCTCATTGCCATAATAGGATTGGGAGCAGAGATGGCAGCCCCCACCCCAGCACAGTGCCGGACGGGGGCAGCGTGGGGCTGCATCCCCCCTCCCCCCAACCTCAACCCCCCCATAGGGCTGGGTGCTGCCCCGCGGGTGGTGTGCAAAGGCTGCGAGGAGGAAGAGGAGGGGAAGGAGGAGGAAGGCCCATTTCTCCCCCCGCAACCCCAAAACCTACAGCCACCTTCTGCCCTCTCATAGGAAATCTGTGGTGCTATAGGGCAGGGCACCGTGCCCAGCGGATCCAGGGGGGGTGTGCTGTTTACACCCCAATACGGACATGGACCCAGAGAGGGGGGCAAAGGGACCTCCATTTATCCATGGGGCCATTGGATCCCCAGTGGATCTTCAGACACACTATGAAGCAAGGATTGGCCATGGAGTGCCTGACCCCCCCCATGGGATCCATGTGCCCCAGCACATCCATGGGTTCAGCAGGCGCCTGTGGGACCCATAACAGCCTGTGTTGTTGTTGGGAGCACCAATGGGGCACCAGGCTATCCATGGGACCCCCAGAGATCCCACAGGACTCTCTGCTAACTACGAGGCCGGCACAAAGCCATGAGATCTTATGTTATCCATACAACCCCAAGCTATCTATGGGGCCACTCAGCCACCATGGGATATTATGCTATCAGTAGGATCCTGGGCTATCTGTGGGGCCACCAGGTACTCATGGGACCCTATGCTATCTGTAGGATCTTGGGCTATCCACAGGTCCTGGAAGCACCTATGGGACTCCATGCTATCCATAGGATCCCCAGCTGTACCCAGGGGGCCAACAGGCACCCATAGAACCCTACACAATCCATAGGATCCTGAGCTATCTATGGGGCCACCAAGCACCCATGGAACGCTACGCTACCCATAGGATCCTAAACTATCCACACAGTTACCAGGCACCTATGGGACCGTATGGGATCCATAGGATCCCGCGCTACCTATGGGGTTACCAGTCACCTCGGGGACCTCATCCCGTCCATAGGGCCCTGAGCTATCCGTGTGCCCGCCAAGTACCTACAGGACCCTAAGAACCGTATGGTGAGCAACCTATAGGACCACCAGGCGCACACAGGACCCGACGCCATCCATAGGTCCCCAAGCTATCCACAGGGCCACCAAGCACCTCTGGGACCCTCAGCTGCCCATAGGGCCACCAAACACCCACAGGACCCTCTGATACCCACGGCTCCCACAGCCACCACACGGCACTCGGGGGGGCAGAAGGCGGGGCAGAGCCGAGCGGATTTTTTTTGGGGGGGTGGGAGAAAAAAAAACAAAAAAAACAAAAAAACGACCTGGTTGAGATCCTCGTCGTTGAGCAGGTGGGACTCGCGGGGCTTGAAGCAGTTCTGGCACTTGCTCTTGTTGAAGATGTTGGCCTGGAACTTCCTGCACGGGTTGTCCTTGGCGGCCATGGCGCGCCCCGCGCCGCTCCGCGTCCGCTCAGCGCCCCGCGGAGCGCCCGCACCGCCGCACCGCCACCACCGCGCCCATCGCGGGCCGCGGCCTGCGCGGAGAGCCGGGCTCGGCGGGAGAGCGGAGATCCGGAGGAGGAATTCGAATAACAACAACAACAAAAATCGAAACCGCCGCCACCCGCCACAAAGAAAAAAAAACCACTCGGGATGTGGGGGTGGGATGGAAAAAAGAATAGTAATAATAATTAACAACAACAAAAAATCGGAAATAAAAATAATAACGACAACAACGGAAAAAAAAAAGAGGGAATTAAAAAAGCGGGGGCGCAGCGCTCAGCGGACGCGCGGGGCCGAGCGGCGCGGGGAAGGGGCGCGCGGGGCGGGGCGGGGCTGCGGGCGGGGCCGCGCGGAGCGGAGCGGAGCGGCGCGGAACGGAGCGGGGCCGACGCTGCGCTGCCCCCAAAGTTTCCACCTCCGGAGCCAGCGGGAAGGGGGGCGGCGCCACAGCGCTGACGGACGGCGGCTCCCACCAATGGCGAAGGGAAGGCGACGGGAACAAAAGGCCGTTGCAGCCAATGGGATGCAAGGAGAGGAGAGGGCGCGGCGCGCCGCCTGCGGGCTCCTCCTCTCCGGAGGCCGTGGGGGAGGGGCGGTGCTGACAGCCGGGGGCGGGGCTGGGCCTCGCGGGGGGGCGGTGTGGGGCCCTGCGCTGTGCGCGGAGCTGCGCGCTGCCCCCCGCCGGGCGCGGCCTGAACAAACGCTGCGCGCTGCCCCCGCACCGTGCGTGGCCCGCAATGGGCCCACCGGATCCATCTCCACCCCATAAGTATCCCCGTGCCAGGACTCCTCCCACCCTGCGTGACCCCCCAGCCCCGCTCCGCGCCCCGTTGACCCTCCACGCCACGCCCGGACCCTCCGGCTGTGCGCGGACCCCCGCAGGCAGGGCGGTGCGGGGCCGTACCCCCGTTCTGCCCCATTCACCCCAACCTCGGGCACAGCCCCGACCTCCGGGACACCCCAGTGCTTTGGGGGGGGGCACAGCCAACGCTCTGCAGCGTGCGGGGACAAAATGAGGGCGCAACCACCGCCCTGCGGCCCCCAGGAGCTCCTCTGTTTGCCCAACCCCGACGCAGAGCAGCGCGTTAATGTGGCGGTAAGGGGTTGGGATGTGCGTGGGCCCTAAAGCAGGGCTGGGGATGGGGACAAAACGGGGACGCAGCCGCCGATCCCCGCCCGGCGCTGCCCCGCTGTTTGATGTGGGTCCCGGCCTCGGCCGCCGCGCCGGCTCCGCGTCTTCATCCTCCAATAAATACAGAGCGACACGATGGCTCGCTGCTTTATTAATTTGGGGCTTCATCAAAGGCTGCTTTAATCATCGTTCTCTCTCCCGCCAGCATTGCTTGCTCGCCGTGCTCCTGGGGGGCCGTGCGCTCCGCCACGCTTTGCTGCTTTGGGTGCGATTCTCACCTTCCTCCTCACCCCAGCGCTGCAGAACACGCTGCAAGGAGCCCGCAGGAGCTCCTTTCACCATGCAAGGAGCAACGCCCTCTGTGTTTGCATCCCCGATGCCATCACCACGTGTCCTTACCAGCCACGACCCCTCGGAGCACAGATGGTGTCCTCAAAAAGCTCTTCTGCCCACAAACCCTCCTTCCATCCCATATGTTGATGGGACGTGGCACGCCCTACACCCCGTGCACCCCGAATGGAGCAGGGATGAGCGTGGGGTGCATTCAAACACTGCTGGGGGCCGCTGTGTCCCCAGATGCCATGCAAGGGAGAGCATCTCCCCTGAGGGAGAGCGGGGGCTGTGATTCCCCGGGCACCACAGGACATGGGGTTGGCGTCCCCAGCAGTGCCAGCCCAACTCGTGGTGGCTCGGGGCTGTGACCTGGCGCCAGGGCCGACAGCTTGTGGGGATGCGGCTGATGCTGCTGGTGCTGGTGGTGCTGGGGCTGGTGCTAGGCTGGCTGCAGATCTCCAAATATCCCACAGAACAGGACGGGCCTCTCCATGAACCTGTCAGGCTGCATTCAGCCATGCTGCCTTGGCCGTGCGCAGCAAGCAGGGCTGCTGAGAATCCATCATTTGTGACTTCTCCTACGTGACCCCGTCATGGGCACGGCCATGGCACAGGGTGTTCGTTCCTTTGCGTGCCATGTCCCCACCATCCCCATCTTGGGACACTCAGTTGGGGCATGGCAGCCCAGAGCTGGTCTGGAGCAGTTTTCCCAAAGTAGGGCAATTAAAGTAATATAGGAAAATGGAAACTATTCGTCAGGAGCTGCAGTGGCAGAAGGGGAAGGAGCTGCGTGAGTCAGTGAGCCCAAGCGGAGCCCCAGCAGCAGGTAAACAAGCAGGAGGTGTTACTCACCAGGTCCTGCTTTGGGATGGGCAGCACAAAGCCCTCCTGCTCCAGAAAGGCACTCGGTGGCACCGGGATGCCCAGCACAAAGGAAAGCCGCATCACTGCCTGGAGGTGCCACCAGGAGCATCCAATGTGAGGGCATCAGCGGGATGGGGATGTGGGACACATGGCCCAAGGAGCACCCAGAAGTGCTCTTCTCTGCCTGCATGTCCCGGGGCAGCCTGTCTCCCCGCACCTCCACTCGGCCATCATTACATGGAGCCAGACGGATGGATGCCCAGGGCTGAGGGGAGGGCTCAGCGTCCAAAGCCATGCATCTGACACAGGGAAACTGCTGCTTGAAAATATGCGTGGGTGAAAACAGCCTCATGGATGGAGCAAAGCCTCCGGTGCCTTGAAGCCTGAACCCAGTCTTCCCATTGGGAAAGCCAAAGGACCCACATGAACCTCCGGGAGAAACACACAGTGCTCAGCTGCAGCTGCTGCATCCAAGAGCAGAGTACAGCATGCACAGGGCTGGAAGGGTCCTGCACAGACCCTGCTTTGTACACAGCCCGGGAGCTGGGTTAAACCACATCCCAACAAGCAGAGATTTCCTCTCATTCAGTGAGTGCGAGTTCATACTCTCCTCTTAAAACTGGGCCAGTGGTTAATGACTCTCCCAGTCAGGCTGTGAGGGACCATATCCCACACCTGCTTCCTGCCTTCAGTGGGGAAAGTCTGGCTCTTTTGTTTCCCCCAGATTTTGACTGGATGCCCGGGCAGAGCAGATCCCCATCACGTCCCCTTCTTGTGCTGCTCACCAGCCTTCCGTCCCCATCAGCACCAGGGATGTTCCCCACAGAGGGCACACCCCACGCACAGCCCCTCGGCTGCCCCCCAGGTGTGCTCCGGTGGCTCCACATCGTGCAGCTTTTACAAAGGGAAACATCACCTGGCCGTCAATGAGCTGCATTGCAGACAGTCGTTAGGCAGCACGCAATTAGCGATCCGCCAGCCCAGAGCCGTGCCAAACCCGGAGCCGCCTCACTTGACAGGCGCTGCCATCCATGAAACCAAACTAACGACCTTAATTATATTTTTAGCTTCTAATTTTGGGCTGACACTGTCCCCAGTTACCCAGCCCGTCATTTGCCCGGGGACTGCCACCAGCCCTACCTGCTCTGTAATTCCCAGGGTTGGCCTTTTTATCCCCTTTACCCATTCGGCTTCTGCTGGCCTCCCTCCAGCCCCATGGAATTTCCCCAGGGTTTTTCACCATTAAAAATTAACTCGGCATTCTGCAAGCCTGCTCCTGCAAGGAGCAGCTCTCCTCCTGCAACACCCTCAGCCCAGTGCAGGGAACGGCCCTTTGCTGGGGCTGTCGGGATGGTGCCCTCTGAATGCTGGGTGTGGGACTGGGCAGTGGTGAGGATTTGCTCATGAAAATGCTGCACACATCAATGGTGCATTGGTACGCATCGTGGTGCTTTGGTCCTGGCACACATCATGGTGCTTCTGTAGCAGCACTGTAGTGCCCTGTACCAGTGTACAAGGCACACTTATCCCAGAGGGAGCCAGATTTGGGGAGCCAGACTGATTTTTGGTAACTCCTCTTCCGCACTGGGTTTTGGCGAGGCACCTTGGCCCTGGGACGGCACCCAGCACAGCTGCTGGGTCAGACCCCACGGCACGGAGACACGGATGGGTTCCGAGCATCCTTATGGCGATGCCCCCACGCGACGGCAGCAGAACGAGGCCGTGATGCAAAACGAGCCGCACGTGGGCTGCGGAACCTCCCACCTCGGTATGGGCTGCGGGGCTGCGGGGCTGCGGGGCTGCGGGAACCGCAGCGCGGAACTGAGCGAACCGAGGCTGCCACCTCCCGGTGCGGAGCAGCACTTCGCGCTGTCGCTCCTCCGCGTCCCCCCGAGGGCTCCCGGCTGCGGGTGGCGATCCGGAGCCGCTCAGCAGAAGGAGCGGCTGTGGGCTGTTGCGCCGCTGCGGTCGCGGAGCAGCATCCCTGGGGGACGCGCATCGCGGCCGCGGCCGTTCGAGAGGTGTCTGCAGGGAACCAGGGTGAAAGAAATGAGCTCGGCACCATCTGTGCTCTGCTCGGTTTCGATTCCAAACGTCTCCTCTTCCCCTTCCCCCCTCCCCCCTCCTCCCAGCCTTTTTTTGGATCTCACAGGGTGCATGTGTGCAAGAAATGCCCTGGCCAAGGTCCAGCCCTGTGTGAGCACAGGGAATGCAGAAAGCAGCAAGTCCTGAGCAGCCCAGGAAAGCATTGCTCTGGGCACTGGTGTTCGGCAGCACTTAAGAGCCATGTGCCACCTCAGAGGCCACAGGAGGACCAGTGCTGCTTGGAGGTACCCGACCAGGGAACAAAGTCCCAGTCACAGCACGAGCTGAGAATTTTAAAGCTGAGTTCACAGGGCCTTCCTCTGCTCACTGAGGAGGGACAAAGCACCCCCAAGTGCTTCTCACTTCCCTCTTGAGGGCACACAGAGTGGAAACTGCAAGTGTCCTGCTGCTATTTGCAGAGGCAGGTTTCCCCTGCAAAGTCCCAAGAGCTGCAGAGATGTGGCTGTAGCTCCAGGCCTGGCTCTGTCACACTCACAGTGTCAACATCACATTTTCCTCTGCTGCCAGCCCTGCAGGTGGGCAACCCATGGGCTCCTGGAGCACCAAGCTCACGGGCTGAGGCTGCAGCATGAACAACCACAGGGATGTGCAGCAAAGGGCGCATTTTCCTCCCCAGGCTCCATAGCATCATTTCAGCCATGCAGCTGCCCTCTCCCAGGTGTACCTCTGCTTCCCTCCCACAGCTCTCACCCTGACCATAACCCTGACCATCAGCCACACGTGCAGAGCTGTGATACGTGCACAGCTCCCCTGCTGCAGCGTTGCTGCGGGCTGCATGCAGCCATGGGTGCTGGGCTGCTCTGCTCTCTGAGAGATTCACCTCTGATATCCCATGGTGGGGAACGCACCCATCAACTGAGATTTTGCTTTGG